CCAGGATAAGTGAAAAAAGCAAAGTAGGAAAAAAAGTGTGTATAATATACTGTTATTATGTAAGAAAGAAAGAGATGGAGGCAGAGCGTATGTTTGTACTGACTTGTATTTACAGTAAGAAACTCTAGAAGCATGTATAAGAAAGTAATAAAATGGTAGTTTTATTACTGAGGAGGGGTCAGGACAAGATCTCACTAGATGTCGTTCTATAATGATTTGAATTTTGAACTATGTAAATACATCACTTATTCAAAAAATAATGTAAAAACATTTTAAACACCAGCCTCTGTAACCAAAACACATCTACAGGCTACAAATGGCCTATAGGCCTCTGGTTTACAACCTTTGCACTAAGGAGTCCTAAAGTGGGAGGCAGAAAGTTGGCAGTATGAAGTCTCAGTTTTACTAGGTTTGGAGACAAGCAGATTGTTCAATATCTGGTATCTAGAACTCTCTCTGAATTGCCTGACAATGAGCTGGTTGGGCCAGATAGCTCCATCTCTTCTAGGGGAGGAGGATGCAACTTTTCACAGGGTGAGGTGGGGCTCCTCCACTTTCCCTCCTAGTTAAGGCTGCCTGGAACTCAGTCTGTTTGTTTCCAGCTGTTGAGGCCTCTCCCTGACTTGTCCTGAAAAAAGGGGGAGCGGTAAAAGCGTGGAGTTCCCTCACTGGAGCACAGTATCATGGTGTGTTCAGCTGGGCTCCAGCTCAAGCAAACTTGCCCAGAGAATGCCTAGAGGATAGAGGACACATGGTCCTATACTCTTCTGCCTGTCTCTCCCAGTCAGCACCAAGAAACACTGATAATATCTACCCCTAGCCTGTGTATGTTCTGCAAATGAGCTCACTCAGTGTTCTGGGTTGAATAGTGATCTCTAAATAAAGATGCGTTGAAGTCCTAACTCCCAATAACTCAAAATGTGATCTTATTTAGAAATAGGGTCATTGCCACTGTCATAAGTGAAGACGAGGTTGTACTGGAGTAGGGTGGGCCCCTGGTCCAATATGACTGGTGTCCCTGAAAGGAGATAGTCATGTGAAGATAATGCCATGTGACAATGAAGGCAGAGTTTGATTTACAAGGCTGCAAGTCAAGAAACACTGAAGATTGCCAGCAAACCACCAAGAGTTCGGAAGAGATAGGAAAGGATTCCCCTACAGGTTAGAGAGGGAGCAAGAGCCCTGATGACACCTTGACTTTAGACTTCTATCCCCCAGAACTGTGAGACAATAAATTTCTGTTGTTTCAAATCACTCTGTTTTGTACTTTGTTACGGTAACCCTAGGAAATGAATACACTCAAGCCAGCTCAAGTGACAAAGGTATTTGATGTTATTCTGTCTCAGTGCCTGCTCAATAGATACTGATGACAACTCCACCCAAATGAATGAAAATTCTAGGCCCTTGACTAATCAAGTTTTATTATACAGGTATGCAGTGAAAAATCAACCAGTAAATAATTACTGAGTACTGACCTTGTGAAGAATATAAGAGAAATAAAATATTCTATTAGTGCCCACAACGAGTTGATAATCTGATGGAAGATTTAAGACAGACACATAAAATACAACAACACATTTCATAATGACCAAATAAGTGTTACTTTACTCCCCAGTGGATGCCACAGAAGTCACTGGTAACTAAATCCCACTGTACTGCCCTAGATTCAGTCTTCTACTGTATTTCATTTTAGCTGATCCTGATATATGTGTCTGGAAGAACTGGGCGTACTTTCCAATGTCAGGCTAATAAACAATTTCTAGAAGCTTTCACCACTGCTCCTGGCATGGAACCAAACGTCTTGCCTACTGTGGTTATCCACTGCCATCCATGGTCATTATCTGCTACCCTTGGTGGAAGATTCTCTCAACAGTTTCTTAACAGCTTTCTTTTTCTATTCAGAGAGGTGGACCCTGGAGGGAAGATACATCTATTCTGCAGCATTCCATGAATCTGACATGCAGAAAACAAAAGATCCAGTGGTTTGGGAATTCACTTTGGTAAGTCGATTAACAGTTTTTAAGAGCGCTACAGGAAATCAGAGACTCCTATAGAGATACTATTTCCTGTTCCATCATTCAGAACATTTGCTGATTTGACCCAGCCCTCTTGCAGGTTGTGGCTCCCACTATACCCTGCCTCTAGGAACCTCTGGTTTTTACCATAAGCAAGCCTCCTGTCCAGTTACACATGTGGGGATAGGGGAGGCAGTAGACCTTGAATGAACCTTCCTAGAGCTCCCTCTGAATTCCAAATCTCTGGGGTCTGGCTTGCCCAGGGATCCTCCTGCAGCTCTCACCTTAAGATGAGACGTGGCCGTGCTGAGTGCCAGATGGAGCCCCAGGCTGAGTTCATGAGGAACAGTACAAGTCGCTGCTGCCCCACCCTCAACAAGCAATCTGATGACCTGATTAGGCTCCAGGCCAGTCTCCTGAAGGGCAGCTGTGGTCAGGGCTGGACCTGCAGGTGGGACAGACAGAGGAAAGGTCTTCTCACTTGAGTTCAAGTAATTCGTTATAGATTTTCAGGGTAGAAAAGACCCTTAAGGTCACCTAATTTTCATCCTGTGACTTCTCCAATACACTTCATAGATTTGTTCTTTAGATGAGAACTCTCTACCACATGCCAGGCTTTGTGCTCTGTGTCAGGGATACAGGGATATCTACCACAGTCCTTTCCCCAGAATGAACACATTTTACCATATTTTTAATACAGGAATCAATCCCACAATATATTCCAGTTATTTAATTAAGAAACATTGCGGAGTCCCTATGATGTACCAGACACCACGTAAAAATGAAGCCTTGAAGAGTGCACTGTGGGTGAGAGACCACTCCTGGTAAGGAGGTAAGTGCCATGTGGCAAATGCCATGACAAAAATGTGCACACTGGTGTGTGTGAGCACAGGGAGAGAGAGGAAGACCTGGGGGTGAGGTATTGCAAAAGCGCCTCGAAAAGAAACTGATTCTTGAAGAAAAGTAGAAAACTGTGAGCAGAAAAGAGTGAGGGAGGCAGACATTCACCACCAAGGACAGAAATAATAATATAAATGGTAATAAACGATGCTAGCAACTAACATTTTCTGACCACTTACAATGAAGTGAGCATTGTTTTTAATGCTTTCCGCATATTGACTAATTTAAGCCTCTCCTAAGCTTATGAGGTATATTAGCCCATTTTGTTGGAAAGCAAACTGAGGCGTGGAGAGGTTAAGTGGTACAGGAAGTGAGTGGCAGGGGCAGGATCTGAACCCGGGCAGCAGTGCTCCTGGGCTCACACTCTTTATCACAGTAGTCGCCGATTGGTGGTTCTCTCACTACGGTCCTCCCCTGGGAACCTGCTACAAATCCAGATTTGGGTCTCATTCTGACTCACTAAATCAGAACCTCTGGGGTTAAGTTATAGCATTTTGTGTTTTAACAAGCCTTCCGAGTGATTCTGGTGCCCGCTTACATTTGAGAAGCCCTGCTATAAACTTTTAATGAGAAGGGACGGCATATTCAGAGGAATATGAAGGTGGGGAAAAGTCAGCGAGAAAGATAGGGTAGATTGTAAAGAACCTTGCATATCATAGAAGGAGAATAGGCTTTGTTGTACAGGCTTTGGGAGGGAAGGTGGAAGTGAAGCAGAATGAAGGTGGAAGTGGCATGATTAAGCTCTGGTCTTTGGGATGGGACCTCTGGCACTAATGCTAGGAATGGACCAAAGGGGGAAGAGGCCAGATGGAGGGAACCCAGCCAAGAGGTGGGGCCATGGTTCAGACGAGCAACGGCAGGGGCTGCACTGAGGTGGTGGCAGTACAGAGAAAGAAGGAATGAGAACAGATTCAAGGCAGAGTGTGATAACAGTTGGACATGGGCTAAAGAGCTGGCAGAGGTTTCCAGGACGATTTCATGGCTTCCAACTTCAGAAGTTGAGTCAGCAGTGAAACCATTTAGCCAGACTAACAATGCTGGTGGAGAAACAAGATTGAGAAGATTGGCTCCATTTGAGAAATGTAAAGATTGAGGTATCTGTGGGACGTAGGTTGAAAATATTTAGAATGCCCAGAGAAAGAAGGACCTGGTGCTCAGCGGTGGGGTCAGGGCTGGGCATATAGGTTTGGGTTCACCAGCATAAGTGTGATGGTTGAAGCCATAGATAAGGTTAAGACTGTTCACAAACTGTGTAGGAAGAAAAGAATGAAGGCTGGAATTATGCAGGATGCTAACATTTAAGGGGCGGCTGGAGCAAGAGAGCAAAGGTGGCTCAGAAACAGAGCTTAGAGAGAAGAAAACAAAAGAAAAAATATCTCAAAATCAAAGGATGAGGAAGGTTGGAGAATGAAAGAAATAGAGGGTTGACACTGGTTTCAAACGTAGAAGACTGAAAAGAAACACTGGTTTTAGCAATGAAGAGATCACAGGTGAATTCGGCAAGAGCAGTCCCAGTGAACGGATGGGGACAGAAGCCAGATTCATTCATAGATTTGTTTTTCAGATGAGAAATATCCACCACATGCCAGACTTCGTGCTTTGTATCGGGAATATAGTGACAAGCAGGGCATACATGAAGCAGCTCTTACCAGGCAGTGGGGAAGACATGTAATGAACAGAAACTACAAAAATAATTATGGGATCACAACTGAGGTAAGTGGTCTGATGAAGACGTGAAGACATACAGAATGCTTATGATTGGGAGCATAGAGCAACAAGACAAATGTAGATAGAAGACGAGGGAAAGGAAGGTACCTTTCAGTTGGGTCCCACAAGATGACTAGGAGTGAATAAAGGAAAGGGGATGGAAAATGTTCTAGGGAGAAAAAAGGCAGGTACAAACACCTGCAGAGAGAAAGAGCGTTCATATGTTCAAGAAATGGAAGGAAACCAAGGGAGTAGAACAGTTTTAACATGGCAAGGAGTGGCTGGGAGTAAAGTTTAAAAACAAAGCTTTGTGGGCCAGGATCTGGGACTTCATCGAAGTAGTCATAGAAAATCACTGAAGTAAAACCTAAAAGTTAGGAAGAGACATGATCTAATTTGCATTTTTTTAGATGACTTTGGCTGCTTGTGAAGAATGAATTTAGGTAGGGAAGGTGATGAATAGGGAGTAGATACATTGAGATCAGTTAGGAAATTATTACAGTCCAGGCAAGAGATGCTGCTGTCCTGGACCAGGGTGGCGGCAGGTGAGTAGGTATGGATGAGCAGATTCTAGAGCTGTTTAGAAGGTGTGCTCAAGAGACTGAGGAATTGGATGTGGTAAATGGGGAGAAGGGGAGTGAGGCCATCTTGGACTCTGTAGTCCCTCTTCATATATTCTGAATACTCACAGAGGACTACTGGGATGGAAGACTACATACCCCTGAATTCTAAGTGGAGATAAGGCCGAGCCCTAGTGGCTCTGGTAGGGCTCACACCAGCAACTGGGGAACAAGTCTTCCAAGACTTCTCCTAAAGGGCCTCTAATCCCTTAGAGATAAAATGATTCCTTTGAACAGGAAGTCTCCTGAAAATCTCCTCCTCTTGTTTTGTCATGCTATTTCTGATGTCATATCCTCTGGGAGTGGGTGCCTAGTAGATTAAGTCTCCATGGCTCTGCCACTCTGTCTGGACAAGCTCCACTATGAGTGGCTTCTCATTAAAGAATCTCATGCACTGTTCAGGGCATTCATAAAATGCATTCAGTACAATAGGGACAATTCTAGGTCCCAAAGACCAACCTCCATTTGATTAGTTTTCTTTCTCATCATTTTATCAATTTTAAATAAATATGCTAGATTTTGATTTCCAGTAGTATGGTAAACTAAGTTCTTAGATTGATCCGCCCACTGAAAACAACTTGAAAATCTTGAAAAAAATGTATATATATATGTATATATATATATATATACACACGCACACACGCGCACACACACATATATAAAACAATATTTCTAAAAGCATTGATGATCTGGCAAGAAAGGAAGGATTCGCTGTCCAGGGCCTTCTTCAGATAATGGAATATGCAGGTTCTGGCTATAATAATAGTCAGTTTTATTCACATAATAATGACTATAATGTAATTAATGAAGTTAAAGACAAGCTTGCAATATGTGCAGGGAACAAAAAAATCATGAAGAATAACCAAGATGATTTGAAAAAATGGACTGAAGAGAATTTTTAGAAATAAAAATTAAGTAACTGAAATTACATACAGTAGACAGATTTAATAGCATATTAGATACAGTCTGAAAGAGAAGTAGTGAACTGGAAGCTAGGTCAAAATAAGTTAACCAAAATGCAGCACAGGAAGACAAAGAAAGACTCAGAAAAATATGAAAGAGGCTTAATGAGATATGAAAAATAGCAGCTAACATGTCTATTTGGAATCTCAGAAGGATAAGAGAGAGAACGTTTGAACAAATAATTGCTAAAAATTTTCCAAAAGTGAGGAAAGATATCAACACACACATTCAAACATGCCAATGAGTCCAATAAGAATAAATAGAAAATCCGCCACCAGTTACAGGTCAGTGAGACCGCAGAACACCAAAGATGAAGAAAGTAATTTAAAAGCAGCCAGAGAGAAAAGACAAATTACCTTTCAGTGATTACAAGCCAGAAGATGGTAACAGAATACCTTCAACGTGCTAAAAGAAAGTAACTGTCATCTGAGAATTCTATACTTAAAGGAAATACCCTTTCAGAATAAGGAGATTTAAGACATTATCCGATGAACAAAACTGAGAGTTTGAAACAAGTAGACCCTCATCAAAGGATATTTTTAAAAGATGCATTTCAGATAGGAGGAAAGAGATTCTGGATGGAAGATCTGAGATTAAAGAAGGAATGAAGAACAAAGGAAATGAAAATGAATTTTCTCAGTCTGTTGTTGAGGAAATAACAGAGGTTTGGAGTCAGACCTGTTTATATTCATACCTTGCTGTGGTTTCTTGCTATCTGGAATACTCGAATCATGTTACTTAATCTCTCAGAATTTTGATATCCTTATCTTAAAAAGTCATATAATAATGCCACTTATGCAAGGTTTCTGTGAGGAATACATGAGCAAACACATATAAATGCCTTCAACATAGAATCTGCATCTAGAAGGCATAGAAGAAATATGACTCTTATCTCTTCAAAAATTAACAAAGAAACAAGTAAATAAGATACAGATAGCAACAAAGAATGACCCCCTCTACTTCAGGTGTAAGATAAAATTCTGGCCCTTTCTTATATTTTGTGAATCTACACTACAGGGCTGAACTTTAGAGGTTGTTTTCTTTTTGTCTTTTCAGTATCAAGCCTAAGATCTTCCAAACAAAACATTTATGATTTATCAAACAGACAAACAAACAAACACTGCATATGTACTCACAAACCCCAGGGCTATATCCTGGATTCCAATTTAACTGACAATTTTAAAATAATTTGTGTTCACAGTTTTATAAATACACGTTGGCCCATCCACAGGGCAAAATGGCCTATCCTGCCCAA